TACATGCACCCTGATAAATAAAAAATATAGTCAAGTTTTCCCCAGAGACCATCGATATAGCATATTTGTTTTTTATGAATTCATTGAATTTAATTAAAATCATATTTTTAAAAAGGTCTATTTCAAACTTTTAATGCTTATACACTATGAAAATAAATTTAGCAAAACATTCACAGTCTCATTCTGATCACTGAACACACCCCTCTGACTGTCAAACGCTGGTGTGAGAAAGAGAGAAATAATCTGGGGGTTCTTTTCAACTTTAAATGGTCAATATGGACATCTATGTGCTAGGAGCTACTTCAACCCTGGTAAAAATGTAAGATGATTTTATTTTTATCTAACATAATTGCTACAGTAAATTTGTAAAAAAATTATTTTAAAGGAACAGAATGCTTTTCAACTTCAGTAATTTAGTAAGATTTTAAATGAACAACATGCTTTTTCAACTTCTGTGTGAGATAAACTTTCAAGGTCCCCAGCAATGTGGAGGGAGGGGAGGAGATCCATGCCGCTGCAACATACACACACACACACACACACACACACACACACAGACACAAACGACTCCCTACGGTCCAAAAAAATTATAATTGGAGATAGTTTTCAGAGAGATCCGGCGCTACCGTGTGGGAAGAAAACCCCTGCTCTCTAAACATGTAAGATTTCACACTTGTTTCACACACACCTGCTATGATAAGCTTAGGCATAGCGAGGGGATGCGCTAAATAATAACAATCCATCGCTTTGTAACTGTAACAACAAACTCCAAACGATTAAACTAACTGTCACATCAAAGCCAATACATCTCAAACTATCTGTCACACATCCTATACACCCTTTTCTTGTTCAAACGATCAAACTATCTGTCACACATCCTATACACCCCTTTTTCTTGTTCAAACTAACTTCAAACAATCCATCATTTTTGACAGAAAGTTTAACAGGAAGGGGTAGAACTAGATAAAGGTCGTCATCCATCATTTTGACAGAAAGTTTAACAGGAAGGGGCGGAACTAGGTCAAAGGTAACAGGAAGGGGAGGAACCGGAAGGGGCGGGACAAGAGGCGGGACAGGAAGGGGAGGAACCGGAAGGGGCGGGGGAAGATCAAAGGATAGCCACGCCCACCTGTCAATCAATCAAATTGACAGGTGGTATAGGCTATTAACTACTCATAACCTTTACCATAATAATTATATGTAGATGTGAACTCGTGAATCTGCAGGGTTATTACAGGCACGTGTTATTTTATTGTTAACATCAGTATTATTTTTAGCTTGAAGGTTTTAATTTGACTTGTAACTATGCTTCATTTTGACTTCTACTCTAGCGGCCTCCCAGAAAAACTTCCCCGTGCTGACTGCAGCAGACGCGGAGGACTTGATTGGGCAAGTGCTAAAGTTAGCCTCACACAGACGGTAAATTGAAATTCTTCTATGTGATGTTCATAATAATCAATGGAATGGGAAAACTATCAATATTTGTGATCATAAAAAACAGGGTTGTTAGTAAAGCAATTTGTCTTGCTTTTATCAACGTGTTCATTCTAAGTATGACATATCAAACTTGTGTTTCTTTCTTTTTAGGCCAGCTGAGAAGGACTGAGCCTTCAGAACCATGGAGCTCTATTTTTTTATTATTGTATTTTTGCCACTTTGGCCATTCACCTACACATTACATACTTTATCATTCCAATATGCATCTTGCACACTACATTTGCACTATTACTTTGCACTCTTCATCCCACTCCATTTTTACTTGTATTGATATTATGTCATAGTTGTATACTAAAACTGTATAAAACTGTCTCTGATTCTTGTATTATTTTTTTAGGCCTTTTATATATATTTTTTATTTTCATTTTATATTAAAGTTTTAAATCCCATCAAGTTTGCCTGTTCATTCATTCATTCCTACTAATATATAATAATTAATTCCTGCTCATGCACAGACAGTTTAAAGTAATAATAAAATTGTTACCATTGTTGTTAAAGTTTTTTAAAGGTTAGGAGAAATGTAAAAAAGAACGTTAGGGGAACGTTCCCTAAAGGTTGCCTAAAGGTTGCAATGTAACTAAAAACTAACGTTCCCTGAACGTTAAGAAAACTTTCCATGGGAACCAAAACCATAACCTTAAGGGAACATTCCCGCAACCAAAAACTAACATTCCCAGAACGTTCTGGGAACCATAAATTGTTAGCTGGGTTGTCTTCTCAGGTGTGAATCAGAGCATTCACGCCCCCACGCATATTGCCTTTCCAAACAAAAAGTGTCTTACAAAATATAAATCAATGTATTGTTTTATGTGAATGATTAGGAGGGTGATTTTCAGATCATTTTAAAGCAAAAACTCTAGGCGACAACATCCATTAGTCAAAAGTCTTGTGGACACATATTTAGTATGTGTTTTGTGGCATTATTTCAGAAACTTTAAGTTTTATTTTTTTCAATAACCATGCATAAACAATATTGTCTCAAAAATACAAACATGTACATACATGTTGCTCCCATATTATGGTAGCCCTGTTTGTGGTGAATAGAGTGTAATGACAACTTTGCCAGTAATATGTTTATAAGCAACTGAAAAAAGCAGAAATGTCAGGGCATGTCAAAACATCTCAAGGACCCCAAAAACACCTCAGACCCCAGAGGGTTAAGATCACTTGGATTAATTGTTGGTCAAATGTATTCAAATGATAAACAACAGATACAAATTAGAAAGTTTAATGTTCATAACATTATGAAAACAATTGCTATTGCTTTACAAGAAAGGTAAATAAAGATTAAACTTAAAAATAGTTAAAACATTACGTTGTAATTTTAAATCTTGTAATACGTCAACAGAAAATATTCTTAAATTTTTGAAAACCAACAGTAGAAAAGCCAAAAACTATAGTATAAACCATCTGGCTGTATTATCCTTTAGATAACAATGATTACAGCAATATTAAGATGACAGATATAATAAATGTAAAAAGATTTTCAGCAAATGTAAAAAAAAAAAGATTATTTATGAATAAATGATTAATGAGTTATAAAGTAATTATATTCATTCATTCATTCATTCATTCATTCCATTTATATGACCTTATAAATGTAATGAATGAATGAATGAATGAATTATTAATAAACATCATCAGGGAGTGCTGTCATTTATGTCCTCTAATTCAATTATAAAATAAACTTCTCTTTTGGATTCAACCTTGTTTACTTCTTCACAGCAGAAGTGGGCAAAAAGTTGATGAATGTATCATTGCAGACAGAATGCACTGGTTTTTATTCGGCAATAAGTGTTGACACGGTCAGCACATTTCACTGATTCTCCTTCGCAGTCACACACACTTGCTTGAATGGTGCTTTCCTGATCCAACCCACCCTGATCAATAACTTTCAGGACAACATTGTAGTCACCCCGCTCCAATGCAGTCTTTGGTGTCAGAAAGACACCCGTTGCTAAAATGGGCACATTATAATAGTTAGACATGTATACCAAGATAGCCAGATATTTTAATGTGTAACGTATGAAAAATAAGATTAATTTCTCTTTAAAACATTAGTAATTGCTCACATGTGCCATTCATCGAGGTGGACCAATTTTTACGGGTTTCTCCGTGGGTCTCAACTCTAAAAGGACCAGCGAAAGGGGGTCCATCTTTGTCCGATATAGAGAGAAGCACTGGGGCTGAACCACGACTGCACGTTCGTATATTCCTTTCATTGATGACAGGAGCGTTGTCATTTACATCCTCCAATTCAATAACCAGGGTTCCTGTGCCAGTTGCTGGAGCGTCACCTGCACACAAGCACAGACATCAGAAAAAGGCCAGCAAGAATTATCCTCTTAAAAAGAAACACAAATTACCATCATTATCCAACGCCAAAATGATAGCTCTGTATTTGCCATATTTGACTAAGGGAGATTCTCTATCCATGAGGCTCTTGACTTTAATAACTCCAGTGTCTGGAGCAACACTCAGCCAGCCGGCAGGATCACTGCCAATCTTATACCTGGAAGGAACCAAACAGGTTAAAAGAAATGTTCAGCAAGAACAACTTAAGTCTGGCCTGGAAGTTTAAAAACATTTGAAGTTAGAAGGATATACAGGCATGCTATGATTTGAATTCTGCGTATGAAGATTTGACATTGGAAGGGATTTAGGCCTTAATAGGTAGATAGTTGCTAAGGTGGTTCTCAGTGGTTAATATTGCAAGTGAGGCTGTTTGACAAAAAAAATCATTAAAAGTCCATCATTGGAAGACTGTGTGATTTTTATTGTTCTACGAGATCTGAATCTCTAGAGAAATCAGTCAGAATTTTAAAATTGAATAAAACTTTAGTGGTTTGATTGTCTTTGAGGGGATAAAATGATTTTCAACATTTCTTACGTTATCTTCTGTGCTTTTGCAGTGTCTGGATCAATGGCTTTATAAGTAACCAATTCACTATCAACTGGTGAATCTTCAGGTTTGAAGATAACCCTCTCCTTTGGATTAAACTCCGGAGGCTCATTCACGTATTCTACATTCACCGTGACTGTGGCAGTGGAAGTGGCCAAAGAACCGACGAATGGATCATCGTTCTCAACAATCACAGACAGAATGAATTGCTTGTTCTTCTCAAAGTCCAGGGGCTGAATGGAAAATAAAGTGTATTTTACTAAAGGAACATGATCACAACAAATTGCCTGTACAAACACAAGCAACACACAGTACCTTTACAGTGGTGATGATGCCCTCTAGCTGGCTGGGTCCAGTACTGACACTGAAAACCCCAGTATTGTCACTGCTAATAATCTTATATTTGGTTGACCAGGAAGGAGATCCCTCTTCATCTCCATCAGTAACTGTAAGTCTGGCCACTTCAGCTCCTACTTTATTCTCTGGGACAGATACAGTGTGCTAAAACAAAGATGAATGGTGTAAATAAGTATTAATAAAGTATTAAAATGCTTATAACGTTCTGAATGTATTAATATATATTACCGTGGTTTGCACAAACTGAGGTGCGTTATCATTGCTGTCAGTCACAGTAATAACAGCTGTGCCGGTGGATCCATAACCTCTTCCTTCCAGGTCAGTCGCCGTAATTAACACAGTATATCTGGACCATTTCTGAAAGAGAAGATGTTTTCAGGTGAGTTTGTTTACATGAAATATTCTTCGCCAATGCGAGATCCATTCATCATTTCTCACCTCTTTGTCGAAGCCTAAAGCATTCACACGAATTCCTCCGGTAACAGAGTTGATTATAAACAGATCTGGTTTTGGCAATTCCGGATCTTGCTTGACGATTGCGTAACTGACTATACCATTGTAAGTGTCTGGATCATCTGCATCAGTGGCTGTGACTGTCATAAACTCATGACCTTCAGTGAGAGAAGAATAAAGACTGATTCGGTGGAAAAACTGAAGAGGCATTTGAAAGAAAAAAAAAACATTTAATTGAGAAACTGCATCATACACCTACCTATAACAGAAGCTTCAGAAACATTTCCATTGAATGGATTTTGTGTAAAAACAGGCTTATTATCATTTTGGTCCAGCACATTTACAATAATTTCCATTGGACTTTCCCTGATATTCACATCAACTCCAGAAGCATAAGCCATAAGCTAAAGACAGGAGAAGACAGGCATATTAAGAGACAAATATCTGAGGTTGTTTGAAAACACAAATAAATTAGATTTGTATTTTTATTCCATGTCTGTAATCTTTGACACGTATATTTGCAAGTGTAGTTATGACTTAATTTTTAGTTAAAATACAAATTACAAGTATAAGTATGATAAGTAAATTGTGTGTCAAGCTATTTCACAGGGCCTTTTATCTGATTCTTTATACTTTTATTTTAGCTTTCAAAGTATTAAGTACGAGCAGACAATCCAATGCTGAAATGCACTAAAAATCATCTTACTCTGTATGAAGCTTTTTTTTCTCTGTCGAGTGGGCGAGTCACAAACAGATTCCCTGTTAATCTGTCTATAGTGAAAGTCCCCTTAGGATCCAGATCCGCTCCTTCACCTGTGATCTTGTATTGCATCGTAACTTCCTTAGAATAGTCCGACTTTATCTAAATACAGAAAGAAATAATAGAACAAAGTCAAAAACAGACAAACCTCTCTCGATCATTTCATTTTGAACTTTCCCTTCATGACTTTCTCTCACCTGGACCAGTTTCTCTGGGAAAGGACCTCTGCTATTCTCAGGTACATTGAATGGAGGAATAACCCAACCTCTCTTTGCTCTCTTCAGACCCGTTGAAGGCTTTGGAAACATCAGAACCAGATCGTCAGAGGGAGATTCCATCTGAAAATGTCAGTAAAAAACAATGAGCACGAAATATTTTTGTTGACAATAAAATGTTTACTACAGCTATTGAGTTTTAAAATCTGTCTGGGGAAAAACAGCTAATATAACATTTTTGGGGTCACTATTCAATAAACCAGTTTAAGTCGATTCGAGACCTCTTCGCTTCATCGCCGGCTGTACATTATTCCCTTTTAATAATAATAATAATAATAATAATAATAAGGAGGAGGAGCGACGCGACAGCGAAGGATGAGAGAGGACCAGGCCTGGACTATTTTACATTATGTTTTATTTATGTGTGTAATATAAAACATTTTGCTAATCATAGGTTTTAGGCTTTAGCATTGCATAAATGAAACAAATCGGAAGACTTATTGTATTTACGACTTATTGTGTGTTTACGACTTATTGTGTGTTTGAGACCAATGAGAGAGAGCTGTGACAAATTAGTTTCATCAGCAGGGATTGGAAATGCCATGTGTTTAACACAGGCCTTCAATATTTAGTCCTAAACATGTACAGACATTGATCATTGAATATGTCAATTTAAAGTAGCACACTTAAACACTGAAGTGTCCAATAGAGGTCAGGCTTGTACTGTACTCTTGTAGGAACTTGTTTGTACCTGTGGAGAGGAGATGTTCATGACCGTGTTCATGTGATGGTCCTCATGATGATGATGGACTCGCTCAACTCTGACAGAGACCGTGTGCTTCTTTCCACTGGAGTCCCAAGCGTCCACAGAAAACACCTTGTGGCCTTCATGAAGAGTCACTTGTCTCTTCAGTGTTACAGTCCCATCCGTGTCCACATCAAAACACCTGTCAGCGGACTGGAAGAGCGTTCTTGTTCTTCCATCGCATGCATTAAAAATTACTGTCAGAAAAAGAGATTCACACAATAAAGCATCTTGTCACGTATGTAAACCTGGAGTGGGGAACAAGACGCTGTGTCAGTAGCAGATGCTATGGGAACACCCTCCAGGTGTGATGATGATCTGAAATAGTGTTGCCAAAAGTACCAGTACGTCAACTATATGATTAGTCAATGAATCAGTGTTACCATGTTGATACTTAATCTAAAACATTTCAAACACCAGCCTCTCTGTAATACCGTATACCGGGTCAATCCAGTACCCACTGATAGAACATGATATCAGCTACATTGTTTATATAGGGAGCGCTCTTTGCTCAGTTTCTGTGTATAACTTTTGCCCTACTACATCATGCCAGAGATGGTGATAAAGTCAGAGGTAGTGGAGTTAGCAGAGGTGGAAAGAGTAATAAAATATTCTACTCAAGTAAAAGTACTACTACTTCAATGAAATTTTACTTAAAGCTATGGTATACGATTTTGAAAATCGGTCGAGAAAGCCTGAATTTTTAAAAAACTCATCCCGCCCCTCCACACACACACCCCTCCCCTCTGTGCTACCTGATCCCTCCCACCGGGAAACGAACTGAACTACGTCACTCAGTCAAGCTGTGATCACTGGTAGTAAACATCGGAACTGAGATGTAATGTCAGTTCATGTAATGTTCAATCTAATGACCTCGCTAATGACACATATGTAAAATTGCCTTTAGACACTTGAACTTAGTTGCTTCATCAACAATTCAATGTCACGTTTGAGTTCACGTCAACGCAAGATTAGCAACACATGAAATGTTCTAAACTCCCCACCACCATTAGTATAATACTACTAGTATTGCTAAGGTTTTCAGTAATTGTTATTGCAGCACACAGCGCATCTTGTTCAAATTTCGATCGGCTCGAACTGAAACCCGCTAACTTAGGCCAAATGAAATATATTCAAGGACTTCAAGAAATATAATTACTTTGACCCGTGATAGGCGATGCTAAACGCCTAACATTCCAATGCCGACCGGCAGCATGAGCAAGTTGTCAAACTGATAAAAAGATATTTTTGTAACACGTCCATAAAAGTATAAATAAATGTTTACCTGCTCAACAAAAAGTCAGCCGTGTCAGCGTCGGTCTTCAGTCCCAGATCTTCCTGAAGCTTCCTCCAACGGTCAATGGTGGACCCTATATTTATATCCTACTCAAAGTTCGGCGTTCTTCACATTTTTTTTTATCTCTGCTCGTTCCTCTAATGACTTTCTCTTTCGTCCTTACTTTACTGTAGGGGCAAGCAGGGGACACATGCTGCTGTCTTTTTTTTTATCCATTGCTGATATGCTACTTAACTAGCTATCATAGACTGTCAGCTGCTTGCTCGCGCAATTTCATGACGCAGGAGGGGTGCGGGTGGGTGGAGACGCGAGCGTCAGGCGGAGTTTCAGTGGAGCTGGTGATTGGATGAGAGCAGTTGACCAATGTAAGCTGTCCGGCCGGACAGCTTACATTGGTCAACTTCTCTGCGGCTGTACAGCCAATAGAGTGAATGGATTTTTTTCATTCTTTTTTCTATTCATATTGTTAGGATTGTACTATATAACCATAACCAGCATCTAAACGAGGATATTAATAATGAACAATCTTTTAAATCGTATATCCTAGCTTTAAGTACAAGTAAAAGTACCGGTCTAAAAATCTACTCAAGTAAAAGTAAAAAGTAGCTCATTTAAAATTTACTCAGAGTAAAAGTTACTGAGTTACTTTTTTAACAGCGGGTGGGGGAATCCCCCGTGTAGGGTTGTATTAATGGTATGAGATTTTCACAGTAGAAAATATCACGGTTTACAGTATTAATCAATTATTAAAGGTGCTATATGTATTTTTTAGCGGCCTCTATCTGTGATGTTTCAGATTGCAACCAATTTTTACAAGAGCGCTCGTGCTCGAACACAAGAGCGAACACTCATGGTACCGGCCACACTGAGACTTTCAACACACCGGAGAAAGGATCACACAACATGCTGGAAACTCATGTAAACTCCCACTGCAACGTTACAATAATAGGCTACTTTTATCAGCTTGACGTTGAACTAATGCTCCATGCTCGTACCATGATAACGTTACATTTGTGGTGTTATCTAGCATAAGGCATTTCACTAACCATTCGTGTATCTTTCACAATCAGCAAAGTCAACATAGGTGAATGTATAATATGATAACGAAAACGGTTAGTGAACTAGACTGAACAATATCAGTGTAACAGTAAGATCGTAGGAAGTAAAATTACTGTACTGAACGTGTCGGAAATGTGTATTATAAACAATATGATAGTGGGATGAGTGACGTTAGACAGTAGATCTAGTACATAAAATAAAAGTTACATCCTAAAGCACTTGCTATCCTGGAACAGTCTTTTGTATTCATTTCATGTCTCATGTATGTTGTAGTTTACCTTGCTATTTCATTATAGTTTAACATTATTTCAGCATATCTGAAAACTTGTAATTTATCACAATAAAAATAGCGGAGGTCTCTCCATAATTCAAACGCTCTGCCGATGTTGATCCGTGTTTTCGTCCTAAGTCGATTTGATTCACGTTTGGCCTGACGAGCTTCAGCAGATACATTTTTGTTTTGTTTTGTTTTTTATATTTATGTGGAGTTTGTGTTGGAGTGTGTGTTGTGCTGGAGGCAGGAGTGTTTGGTGTTATCAGACTCCATGTCGTCAGCTGCAGTGCCGTCGCATAGACTGCATATAAAAAGGAGAGCGGCTCGGTAGCGCGCATGCACGTCACATCCGATGGCTTTCGCAGTAAATCCGACCCGGAGACTTCACATAGAAATAGGAATACCGGCCTTCAGAGGTAATAGCAAAACCCGACAAGTGGATCATTGTAATGTGTGATTACAACCCCTTCACACACAGGCAATAAAAAAAGGATTCATTTTAGAAGAAAAGTTACATATAGTACCTTTAAATAAATAAACAGTATTATTAAATTATGGTTATTATTATTATTATCATTAGTTAAAATGACAGTTAAATTAATGAAAACAGAGGTTTTTTGGTTGAACAAATGCTTTTACTATAACAAACTTGAAACCATTTGTTTGTTTTGTTTATTAAAATTTCAATAAAACATGTCTAATCATTTAAATTCAATAATTGATAATGAATTAGATTAACAACTTATTTTTAACATTATTAATTTATTAAAATGTTTAAGAATAATATAGTCCTATGAAATGTATTTTATTCAGAAAATGAATGTTTCTTTTTATGATTTAATCCAAATATATTATCAAAAACGGTGGTAATCAAATGTAAATTTAAACTTTGTGTCTTTTTATTTTTTGGGGAAGCGCTGCAAAAACAGATTTACTAAATTAAACCATGGACAAAATATATATATATTCCTTTAAATAATGTTTAAATAAAATGTATTATTGTTGTTATTATTATTTTTAGAAGTTCGTTCTATTGTATGCCCAGAATTTCTCCTTAGTAAAATCGAACAAAACACAGGCGGATAATTCACTTCTTGAATTAGAAAAAGTTGTGGAGTGATAGCGTGTCCTTTTGAGGCATGACTCAGCTGGAGGGTGTCCTTTATAGCATCAGCTACTGAAGTGCGTTTATTTATGGCATACATCACTTATTAATGATACACAACACTTAAACTTAACTTGAGTGAGTCCCTTAATTTTGACTCTGATGAAAGCAAATTTAGTGGATGCAGAGCATGTATAAAATTTGAAGTTAAAGAAATATTTAGTCAAATACTAAAAATATTTAAACTCCAAACATTCAGTCGCTTCAAGGTTTTATTTAAAGATAACACAGCTTACCTCTTCCTAGTCTTTTTCCTTGGTGAAGGTCATCTCTGTGCACTTTAAAAACCAGCAACTCCGACTCAAAGCCTGGTGTACATGAAGACTCCTCCGCAAATCCACATACAAACACCTAATTTGAAACATATTAAATCCCTTTATGTAATATATACACTTGATATTTCCCATTTTCCAATTGCTTGTAAGCATCAGTCAATACTGACACCACTTTTTAAAAGTAAATCTTTTTTTTTCCTTTTTAAAGCCACAGTCTGCTTAACCGACCAGTTTATCTCAAGTCTCCAAATTTTCTGAAACCACAAAAATACTTCACAGACGTCTTAAAAATATGAATAACACCTTTTCACTTTATTGACCTTAGTTATTACCTTTGCTAGTGTTTTGAAAGAATGAGTTGATTTGAGACATTTATGACGCATTTTGGTAGTTCCCATGAAGACTCCTCCGCAAATCCACATAAAAATACCTTATTTGAAACATTTTAAATCCCTTTATGTAATATATACACTTGATATTTCCAGGCTTAGGCCCAGAGAATGTGTAGTTGGCATATTCTAGTTATGGAGACGATTCTTCCATCATTAGCATCCCTGTGGAATTAGCTGTTGTGCCAACTAGTTAGGTGTTGGAAAAAGTGAACTAACTATTGAGAAATGTGTCCTAGCAACTGTTAAAAATAAAAAATAAAATTTTTAAAAGCTGGTCCACAAATACTTCGGTTTCGCTGACTATGTGAAAAGTTTTGACAGGGTCAGTTCACTTTTTACCAATACATTATTAGCAATCTAAAACAACTATTACATGCTGGAGATAAATTCAAATAAGAAACCTAAAATAAATCAATAACATTAGATTAAAAATGGTGTTTATTTTCACATATGAGTATACTCTTGTCCCAGTGGAACCTAATTTACAGACCAAGTGTGAATAACTACAAGCATATTACCCTGTTTGCACTCAGTTTGCAATTGTAAAGCAAACCTTTTTACAAAACACTAAATAAACACACTTAGACATATAGCGTTAGACAGATATAGCATTCAAAACTAACAGGTCTTGTGTTTTATTTGGAAAACACTGCCATTCAAAATACCAAAATCTATAATACATATTTTCAATTAGATTTTCATGTTTTTAGATTGAAAGAACAAGGGGGAATATGGCGTTATAAGGCAAAATGTTCAGTTTAAATATTACCTTTTTTTAATGACTTCTATATAACAAAAGGAAAAAGAGGTAACAAACAGAAGTATGTTAGTTTTTTTTTTATGTCTGTGTGGGGGGGTGGGGGGTTGATCAACCCCTGCAACATACAAGTGACTGAAATTTCTCATTTCAAAAACTATGTCTAATCACTGATAATATAAAAACTACACAGCGGCAACAGCAACAGTTTAGCGTTTTATTTCTCCTGATTCACTCCTGATTTGAAGTATATAAAATCCTACCTTGCAAAGGAAAATAACAACTGCCAATCGGACAGTTTTCATTGTCTCTCAGAAGTCCTTCAGGGATTCCTTTCTTGTTGGTTTTTAAGATTGTGCAGCTATTTCATAGCTTGAGTTCCCCAAAATGCATGCAGATGGGGAGTTTGTTACCTTTATAGGGGAGTTTTCCTAAGGGTGTGGCATATGGAGTGATGCAATGTGGCAGGAAAAAAATATATATAACTTGACTGGAACCAATGAGGTGTACGACTTGATTTTAAGACAAAAGCTGAGATAAAACGCACCAATAAAGCAATAACCATGGAGAGAATATCAAACTCCCCATCTGCATGCATTTTGGGGAACTCAAGCAATGAAATAGGAGCACAATCTGAAAGAAAGAGTACATGACATTGTCTTTTCTCCTTCCTTATCTCTGAATCCCCCTTTCCCCGATTCAAGCCACTAAAAGTTCACTAAGAAGGGCTACATACCACATATTATGTATCTTTTAAATCTATTGTTTTTTTTTTCTTTTTATGTTTGGTATCATTTTAGATGTCTCAGTGCAATTGGTAAAATGGTCTTAAAGCTCCAGTCGGCAAGTCTGGCAGATTGAGTGGATTTAGGAAAATTTTGAATGTTTACAACTCTCATGCCCCTCCCCCACTATCAACGGATACCCTCCCACCGTGTCCGAGTTCATGCTCGTCAGTGCGTGTGCACCAGATTTTCAGTGAACGCGCCCGTCTCATCAGCATCCATCAACGCCATGGAGTATTTGGAGGTATGCTGTCCTGGCTAATCTACCGATAGATTGCAATTGCTAACGTCATTTATACTCTAAATGAGCTTGATTGATACTTGATTTTCCGCCATCACTCGTTACTGCGCGAACTTCCGCGAACTTCAGGCGTGTGCATGTAATTGTAGCGTGCGTGAGGGGCGGCGTGTGCCCGATCTGTGATTGACAGTCAGGTCTCACACCCCCCTACGCTGTGTAGCGACACTGACGGGTATCCGGCCAAAGGTTCGGAATTAGCAAATCCTGGTCAGTGGATTAAAATTACTGGAAGCTAATTTAATCAACCACAATCAACTCTACCCTTCTTTTTGGCTGTGACACAAAGAAGTGTTGTTCGGACTTGATTGAGTCACTGACTACAATTCGCACACACGGCAGTTCTCTCTAATGATTAAGTCAAAGAAGACTTTGTTTACCACCAAAAGACATTTGACCAAGAGCCCCGCTTTGGCAAGATCACGCGGAGAGCGCCCCGAGGGTTTCCTACGAAGATGACAAGACGAGCATTGTCAATTTAAATCCGCACACACAGGATTCCCCGGAGAAAACGCTGACTGAACAATCACATCCACGCATACCCGCACACAAACGACCTTCCTGTATGCATGCATATCTAATTAGTTTTGTCTTATTCTATAGATGCAATTTGAACTGTTCTGTAACTTCGAACCTTAAGTTTATTTCTAAAGAAAGATTCTATAACTCTCCCTCTTGCAAGGTCATAAAACTTTATAACTCCCAAAAGGAATTCCAAGGGAAAATCACGGCTCCCACTTGAATTCTGATGAAGAAAGAGGAATAGACTCTGCAATCTTATATTGTCTATAAGTATAACCACTTAAGAAATGCATAAACATGAATTTGATATTTCCTAGGTCATGGTAGCAGGTATTATGGCTTTATAGTCGTGTGAAGAAACTTTAAAATGCTTGTAATTCTGCATATGAATGTAACTATGTTCTTCTACTTTTACCTGCCATGTCTGGTAGCTGTTTGACCGTCTTGTTTTGACTGAACCAGTCATACATAGGATATTACTGTAAAATCTATTGTCCGGTTTGTACAATCTTTCTGGGTAGGAATGACAAAATGTTATACCATCATAAATGATCCTGACAAGACAAAGAGGAATCTTCCGCGGGCACTTTTCTCCCAGCTGATTGGTGCCTTCATGCCAGAAGGGGCGTGAACCTAAGTGTCCTTAAAGAGACGCGCCGAGCTTCCATTCTCCCCTTCTTCTGAAAACGCTTCTGAAAGCTTCCTGAAAACTCTCTGCCTAAACTCCCTGGCTCTTCCTGCTCTTCGTGGCTTCATCATGTGACTCCTCGTGCATCTGGACCTCGCCTTAGTGTGATGATCCATCGTTTCTCTTTTTGTTTTCTTCAAGTTTATTTTATCTTTTTCGAAGTCTCCTCTGTTCATGTCTTCTCGCGAAGAAAATGAACACAGCCAGACTGGCAAGCTTCACCTACAAGGACATTCAAACACGCCGCGCTCGCTGGACGAACCCGAACGCTCGGCATCCACATGACAGAGATACACGCACACGCCCTTTTCAGATCAGTCACACCCAAGAGCTGTACCTGTGCAAGTATCCGTTTTACTATGCTTATTTAAGATCTGTTGATTCTTGGTGTCTAAAAAGGTTCTGTCTGTGATGAATTTTGCCAAACTAGAAGATCTCTCATCTTCTTACTCTCTCTCTCTCTCTCTCTCTCTCTCTCTCTCTCTCTCTCTCTCTCTCTCTCTCTCTCTCTCTCTCTCTCTCTCTCCTGTTTGTTATTCGTCTGTCTCGTTAGTTTTACTGTTTAACTGTACATACATGTATCCTGTGTTCAAATGTAGAATTCTGTATCCGTAGTTTCAATTATTAAAACCATATTCTTGATTGATCCTGAAGTGCTCATTTACCAGTCAATGAAATGCGATCCTATAGCTACAAAAGCTTTATCGTTGACTACGTTGGGTAGTCTAATTTTATAAACACCTGAAAATTAATGTTCACGGCCGGAACATTGAGATTTCTTGGAGTTTATAAAAAGGGATAACGTTGTTGAATTAATTGATGGGTTAATCTTACAGCCGTTTGCTGGACAAACCGATTGTTTGATAGCCAATTGATTCCCTTAAAGTTATCTCATATAATCGATCTGTAATGAGACCATTGATATATGAATGAGGAATTATAATTCGTTATGATTGATCATTCATATATACAATCGATCTATTTTCAATTTCGATAATTTAACTGTAATATGCAATATATTAATCATATTCATGATTAATTATTGAAATTCCCTATGCATAATTTGAGCTAATTAAGGCACATCTCAATGTGGCTACAGCTGATTGGACATGATGAACCGGGAGCTGTGGATTTTTGCAAAACAAATAACACGCTCCAGGTGGAGTTAGAAGCTCGGGTTTTTTTCTAAAACCACTTTATTTATGTTGTTCTGTCAGATTATAGTGTCGATTTCACTGAATATGATCAAAAAAATGTTGCCGACGGCAGCTTTAATGTCATTGCAGTCATTGGTATTATGAGAAAGATTGAAAACTTAGGAGAATCCTGTTCTCCTCTTTGGTTGTGTCTCTTCAAGATATCCGATAATCCTCTCCTCTCCCCCGAAACCAAGTGTTACCCCCTGGGGAACATGAGTAGTTTGTACAAACCTTTTGTTCTGGTCTGTGTATATAAGGGTGATTGGCAGAGCAATCTTGGGAACCTGTAAGCAGAAAACCCCCATGCAGTGCTGAGTCAGTGTCTTACACTCGAAACACACTCACACACAACTGTGTGTCTCTGCCAGGTACATTTCTTACACTCTTCGAGTCATCTTTGAGCAATTGATGTTATATGTAGCCTATTTTTTATTTCTGAATTGGCTTTTAATTGCGTAACTGGCATGATATGTTTTTACCAGACCATTAAAATGTTATATTTGATTTATTCTGTATGATTCTGAAATTATTATTTTTCTAGTATAGATTAATTTGGAGTCTGGTGTCACCTCAAATCTCTGTCGAGTATAGATCAAACAGAAGGCACTAATGAACGGAGCATGAAGCACAACATAAAGGAGACCTTCTGATTTCTGACTATCACTGTTACAAGTGAAGCTTCCGCACCACCTCCTTCACACCACCAGAGGGAGATATCACCCGAATACTGACCGCTTCTCATTTGGACTTCATCTCCCATAGGCCCTCATTCCTGGGACTGTTTACACACACACCTGCAGTTCATTATACACACACCATTTAAGCACGCTACTTACACAGTGTCAGTGCGAAGTCTTTTTTGCCCCGGTGAACATTTCTGAGCGTTGATTCCTGTTTAAAGTATTTTTCCTGTATTTGACTTGGACTGTTTTTTGAACTCTGTTTGTTTGCTGCCTGCCCTGAACTCTGCCTGTCTTCTGGACTCTGCTTTGTTTGCTGTGTGCTAGTGATGGCAAAATGAGGCTTCCTAAACCACTGAGACCTCGCAGCCCATTGCTTCACCCAAAGGTTCATTACTCAAAGCTTCATTCAGCATTGCTCACTAGTGACACCTAGCTACTGTGCAAAGAAGTAACAGACAAATTAGTTCATTCTTAACCAATGACCTGAGCAGACTTATGACATCCGTCTGTCAGAATTTCCTTGTGCAGAGACAACTGTCACACACACAGTTAATTAATTATTCATAAATTGTTTGGATAGTGACAGTATGCCACTGTGTTGAGTGCAGTGCTTATGGTGGAGGGAGTGTAATAAAGTAAACTGCACAGAATAGTCTGGGGTGGGAAAAGTTAAGAATAGTTTCTGGTGTGTTTTGTGCAGTGAACTGTTACTAGATTTAGTGCAATGTTGTGCTTATGGGACTGGGGATATAGAGGAGCAAACTGCAACACTGCAGTTTGGGGTGGGTGAAGGAAGGATTACAATAGATTTTTATTGAGAAACAAAAAATGTTTCAAGTGTGTTGGGGTTTAGATGATTCCTCTTTTTGGACAAAACCTCTCCAGCCTTGGAAAAGATCATTTCACAAGGAACAGAGGATGCAGGGGAACATACAAATGTCAGTGCCAGTTGGTATAAATGAGGATACTGATGCTTCTGTTGAGCCCAGACAGGGGAGGATCTCATCTTTACCAGGAAAAGGGAAAAAAGGAGTCGCAAAAAGCAAACAAATCCAAAAGGGCAATCCAAAACACAAAGGCAGTCCAGTCCAGATCCAAAAATCCACAGCAATCCAAATAATGTTTTCTAATTAATATAACAAGATTATAATTTAGCTACTATAATTATTAATAACAATATACTATACGTATTCTAACCTGATATAATGTAATAATATACAGCCCGAACACATATATGA